TACATACTATCAAACGAGAAACAGGTATCTACGATCTCTTTGTATGGGCTCGTTATGCGTCCTCTCGTTGTCCTCGTTTCCCAACTACACACACATATAAACACACATATATACACATGTATACACACAAGTATACGTATACGTAAAACATACGTGGTACGTTGTGTAGATGAGGGTTCAGAATGTAAAAGGAGGGGGATTCTGAAGAGAAGTAGGAAGAGGAATAGAAGGAGGAGGAGGAGGAGGAGGAGGAGGTGGGTGGAACACAGTGCAAGTACTTGCCAGATATACAAGCTGATATCGGCTGTTCGAATACTCGTTACAACGACGGATAACGAAAAGCCGATCGAACGTAGAGGCGGGTACACTAATACTACTACTACTACTACTACTACCACCACCACATATCCTTAACTGGACCCCGTACGAGAAAAGAGCGAGATCGTTCGACCGACGGAAACGATCGAACCAAACGACGAGGTGGGACGTACTTGATAATAGTAAAAAAAAAAAGAAATAAAAAGAAGAATCTAAAAAGATAGAACAAGATTATATTCAAACTGAACAAACAAAGTCTTCCTCCCTTTTCTCGTCTTCTTACGGAACAAATACAGACGAATAATGAAATTGAGAGGGTGGGTAAAGAATGGTAGGGAATTTAGAAATATTATATGAAGAAAGATAAACTTTTAATTGATTTGTTTTGTTTGGTTTTTTTTTTGTATATTGTTTTGTGATTTATTCATTGTAAATTGTGAGAGAAATAAATTATTGGATTGGATGTACTTGATAATAATTAAAGAAAGGAAACAGTAAATTATAAAAGTATAAATGTTAGAAAAGAATATAAAACTTAAGAAACAATGTATACGGTTTATTTATTTAAAAAGAAACAAATTGAAAAAAAAGTGTTAATTCGCAAAAATAATAAAAAAGACAAAATTTAAATTGACTAATTTGTAATTCACGAATTATGAATTATTTATTCTGAAAGATGTGAGATAGAACTTTTCTGATAATAGTAAAAAAAAAAAGAATAAAAAATAATTCATTAGGAAGAGAGAGAGAGAGAAAGGAAAGAAAGAATTGAACAAAAAAAAAAAATTCGAAAAAAAAGAATAAAAACAAAAATTAAAATTAAATTATTCGCCAATTGACTTTTCATTTGTCACACGTGATTTTTCACTTTTGAATTATGAATTGTAAATTGTCAGTGTGATCGTTAGATCATTGAAAGCAATTAAGCGAAACGAACGTAGAACATACTTGATAATAAAAATAAAACAGAGAAAGAATGAGAGAATGAAAGAAATAAACAATGAACGAATAAAACTCACCGTTCGTCGGTAAAAATACAAACACAAATTTAAAAAAAAAAAAGGTTAATTTCGAAAAAGAGAAGATAATTTTGTTGGAAAGCAAAACAAATTACTTGTCAATTAATTCGTGATTTGTAAATAATGAATTTTGGATTCATGAATTTATTGGATTGACGAAATTATTAAAATTTATGAAATAAAATGACAAAATAAAAAATACCAAATGATATTTAAAAAAAAAAAGAAAAAGAATCAAACTAGAAAACAGGTTAGTCATTTTTTTTTATGAAAATACGAAATCGCATAATAAAAGAATATCAAGAATAAGAAAATAAAGAAGAAAATAATCTGAAGTCAGAATACTAATTTGCACCTAATTATTGATTTCTTGATGGTTTGCTTAATCGAATTGTCGTAGCTGCTAATTAAAATCTATCATTTAATTCTATCATTTAAAGACGATTCGAATGTTTAAATAAAGCGCAAAATACATTCTCTTCGCTTTTCCATAAAACGAAAACGTGAAAAATATTTGAATAACGAAGAAAAATTGTAACAAAAAAAAGCAACCTATCAATAAATGAAAATCCAACCAACGAATCACGATCATTTTATAGCCAAAGATTTTTAACCAAAGTACGACAAATGAATAATACAAAATAATAATCGAGTTAATGAACGTGAACGACGACAACGTTAACATTCGAATTATAATAATACCAACTAAACGAAAGAATAATTCCTAAGTAAACCGAAAAAAAACAGCCTGAATTTTTTTCCCCGAGAGTAAGAGTAAATAAAATAAAGAATAATAAACGCAAGTAAGAAAAAAAGAGACAGAATGAGAGAGAGAGAGAGAGAGGGAGAGAGATAAAGAGAAAAAAATAGAGGAAGTACTGCAAGCACGTTGAATTCAGGTACATTGAGTATACGTAAGAGCAGTGAGTGCTTCGTACGAAACGAAAGCTTTCGGATGTGGATATAAACGAAATGTTCTCGGTTTCCCCCTCCCCTCCCCTCTCTCTCTCTCTCTCTTACTCACATATTCTTCCTATACGCGTGTATCCATATCATCGTGTTTGACTCCCACTCCTACTTTTCAATCCCACCCCTCCTACCCTACTTTCTCATTCCCTCTCATTCACATATTCTCGGTATAAGGGTGTATGCATATCATGGTGGTGTGCTGATTTCCATTTCCTTTACCCCCCGTTCTTTCTCACTTTCTCTCACACTTACTATCCCACTATCCCTTCTCTTCATTCCTTCTCTTCCTCTTTTAGAAGAGAACGACGTTTTCAAGGCTTGCGTATAAGCGATTCGCGTAGAACTCAGCAGACGTTGAGAGTTTCCGTTTTCTAGGGAAGAAGAGTTGGTTCCGTCTAAAGCGAGAGAGAATCCTTGTGATACCGAGTTTCACCCCTACCCTTCACCCCACTCCCCTAGATTCGAGCACTTCCTAGACGGTAATGCGATTTTACGTAGCACGTTCGCGAAGACGACGACACTTCGACGACTACAACGGTTTGTTGCATTTGTAAATGGAAGAACCGATTAAGCGGTCTCGCAACCCTCCAAACTATGTATGTTTTCTCCGAAATGTACATTGCTACTGTCCAAGAACTTAACTATTTCTACGTATTATTATTATTATTATTATTATTATCTTACTTCTTATCCTTATATTTCTGTTTAAATATATAACAACTTTTACGTGTTATCTAAATCTATTCGATTAAGAGAAACGATGGTTTTGTTTTAATATCTTTTGTAGGAATCTCATGAATTTATCATTGAATTGTGTTTTCGAATCTTTGTAATTAAATATTGGTGGATTTTAGTTGCTTTTTATTATTTTGGTATTAATAATTGATGTAAATTTGTTGAATATTAGAATAATTTGGTATTGTTTTGATTACATCATAGAATATGTTATAATATTTATATATATATATGTATGTTATAATATTATATTTTTATTTTATTTATATATGTTATATATGTTATAATAATAATATTTTTAAATATAAATTTAATTTATTTTCTAGATATAAATTGTATCTTGTATCTCTAATTTAATATACAATTTTTTTGTTCATATTATCACAAAAAATATATAATATGAAAGATTTCAAATAAACACTTTACTTTTTGTATTAATAATAAATGTGAAGTTGTTAAATATTAAATCGTAGAACATGTTATACTATTCAAATTTTTAAATATAAATTATTTTTACTTCCTAAATATACAAATTGTATCTTGTATCAATAATTTAATATATATAATTTATTCTTCGAACAATTTTGTTTGGTCATATTAAGTGGAATAATATATATATATATATATATATATAAAATGGAAGATTTCAAATAAACACTTTTGAAATTGTTGGCAATAAAATAATTTCATTCGTCGTCGAACATGATAAGATGAATTTCAAAATAATACGATTATATGCGTTTATGACATTTGTTAGTCACATTTTCACTTCAATAAAAAGAGAATGGAGAAAGAGGAGAAGTCAAATACAGGAGATGGAGAAGGTTTTTAAGAGGAGTATGAGATGTAGAAAACGTTGCACGAAGTATCGGTATGCATGTCGTTGTCAACGATACGATACTATAAAAATTTTAAGAATCTTACGTTGGAAACGAGAAAGAGAATTTTCAAGAAAAGTCATATCTCTTCTCGTCGTTTTTATTCAAAACTTCAGGTCAATCTTCACACAGACATACACACACACGCACAGACACACACATATGTGAGATACTTTTTCAATAATTCTTTATCCAGCTTTGTCATATCCAAGGGGAAATTTTTGACGTACAACTCTTAAGCGTAATAATGGAAGAGAACACGATAAAAATAAAAAAGAAAAATAAAAAGAAAAGAAAAAACAGAAATATTCTAATCCATCTCTTTTAAATAAATAAAATATTTGTTAAAAAAAAAATGTCTTATATAGAAAATAATATTTGATATATTTTCAATTACACTTAATGTACAAATTATATCTATATAATATAATATAAATAATATATTTATATTTATACCTCAATATAATAAAATTAAATTATATCCAATAATAATAAAAATCTTTGAACAAATAACAATCACCAGCAGGGTGTCGGGTAAAATAAACCAGCGCAAAGAGAAAGAGAGAGAGTGAACTTTATCGTTAAAACTTTTCACTCCATCCTAAGATTCGTGCAATGAAAAAGGACGAGGAAAAAAAGTATGAAAGAAAGTTAATAAGAAAAAAAAAAAAACAAAAAAAAAGAAAAAATAAAATAAAAAGGAAAACTAAAATAAAATCGATTATTACTTCACTATCTCGACACTATGAGATAACGTATCGAGGATATAAATGAGAGTTTGCATTGGTGGTGACGAACAAGAAAAGAAGGAGGATGAGGGGAAGGAGGAAGAGGAGTAGGAGGAGGAGGAGGAGGTGGATCAAGATCGCGTAAAACTAAAAGCAATTTTTATTCGAACAAATTGCCATTGTGTCGCTTACGACGTCATGCGACAAGTCAAAACGATTAGTCATCGTAGTTGTAACACCTTTTCCAAGGTTTTCTCTTCTAGCTAACTGCGATTTCTACTTGGTGTTAGAACTGGACAGAAAAATGGACGAGTTCAACGAAGACAGGACATTCTAAAGGACGATCGGTCTTTTTCATGTAACCTGCCTGCGTCGATTCACTGGAATTCGATATTTTACAAGAAAAAGAAGTGAGAATGAGAGAAAGAGAGATAGAA